CCATCACCACCCCTCAGTCGATGGATTTTTGCTGTTAGATCAAAACTAAATCAAAAGATCGACTGTTTTTGAAACCCCGCAAAAAACATTCAATATAATTCCAAAAAAGAATGATTTAAGCTCAAAAACGAGGTTGTTACGCCAGGGTCATACACCGGTGTTTCGGAGGTTCGTCCTCCTCGTCAGTGACCCCCGCCCCACATTCAGCCCTGCATTGAAGCAAGGAGGGAGGCGTATGTGGTGATGGAACAGTGTACAATGACACTGGTCCATCACCACCCCTCAGTCGATGGATTTTTGCTGTTAGATCAAAACTAAATCAAAAGATCGACTGTTTTTGAAACCCCGCAAAAAACATTCAATATAATTCCAAAAAAGAATGATTTAAGCTCAAAAACGAGGTTGTTACGCCAGGGTCATACACCGGTGTTTCGGAGGTTCGTCCTCCTCGTCAGTGACCCCCGCCCCACATTCAGCCCTGCATTGAAGCAAGGAGGGAGGCGTATGTGGTGATGGAACAGTGTACAATGACACTGGTCCATCACCACCCCTCAGTCGATGGATTTTTGCTGTTAGATCAAAACTAAATCAAAAGATCGACTGTTTTTGAAACCCCGCAAAAAACATTCAATATAATTCCAAAAAAGAATGATTTAAGCTCAAAAACGAGGTTGTTACGCCAGGGTCATACACCGGTGTTTCGGAGGTTCGTCCTCCTCGTCAGTGACCCCCGCCCCACATTCAGCCCTGCATTGAAGCAAGGAGGGAGGCGTATGTGGTGATGGAACAGTGTACAATGACACTGGTCCATCACCACCCCTCAGTCGATGGATTTTTGCTGTTAGATCAAAACTAAATCAAAAGATCGACTGTTTTTGAAACCCCGCAAAAAACATTCAATATAATTCCAAAAAAGAATGATTTAAGCTCAAAAACGAGGTTGTTACGCCAGGGTCATACACCGGTGTTTCGGAGGTTCGTCCTCCTCGTCAGTGACCCCCGCCCCACATTCAGCCCTGCATTGAAGCAAGGAGGGAGGCGTATGTGGTGATGGAACAGTGTACAATGACACTGGTCCATCACCTACTGCCTACAGTTCATATTGTGCGGTGTTTGATCGTAAATATGACCAACGAATGCTCTCGTCTTCCGAAATCGCATGATAGGAGACAATAAAGTTATTTGTTAAACTCTGACCAACGAGTTCTTTTTCGTCGACTTTTCTCGTCTGTCGGCTTAACTTAACAATATGCGAATGAAGCAGAAGTTTCTTGGTGTCTGATCAACTAGATTTTTGTCGGTGGTATGATATTACAAGCGTGTACGCAGTAATTGAGTGATATGCAGAACTATGAACGTCGAAGTAGATTTGAACCGGCGTTTCACAGTTTGCGGGAGCTGGTACCAACTATTATACAACCGGCTCTCGCTCTGACTCCACCTTTTCAGCGACACATTGTGTCAATATGTCACTAACCAGCCGCCGTCAGCGGTTTATCCTCGGCTAGTCGATATCGGCATTAGAACCAGTCACTGCGACAGGTAGAGCCAATATCCAATATCTGCGGGCGTGGCAGCTTCAACGGAAAGGCTGAAATGCGGGTTCGAATCTCGTTCGACGTTCTGATTTTTGCACAATATTCAACAATACTAGATGTATACTTGTGATATGTTACCGCTGAAAGCGGTTAATAAGGAGAATTCGACTTGGTGATACCGTACTTGTCCATTGTGAGTCGACCAATAAAAATGATTCGCTGGTCAGAAGCTTTTCATGAGAACGTTAGTGTCGTTCGAAAGCCTGGATCTCTGATTACAGTTTTAGTTTCCGGTTTTCGAAAAGACCCTTCAATAAGGTGTAAAGTTTACGCAGAATCATGTCTTAGACGCGCATAATTGTGGCCGAATAGAGCTCTTTCTTTGTACTATTAATACTCATACCATATCATTATCGTTCCTGATTCCAAAGCTTTGTTTATATCTTGAAAAGACCGTCTCGCTGAAACGCATCACCAAACATGAAATGAATTCGCATCTGCGAGCAAGAAGGTTTTTGGCCAAATCATGTGGCGCTATGTACGGCCGCCACATGCGCTGGTGCGATGTTGTAAGACCGGTGCAGGATCTATCGATCGTCGCCTCAGCGCACGTGGGCGCCTCAGCCGACGGCACGTGATTTGGCAAAAAACTTTCTTGCTCGCGCATGTGAATTCAAGTTATTTATCTGCTGCGTTCCGGTTAAGCGGCCTTTTCAAGATTTAAGCACAGCGGTGCAATCAGTAGCGATAATGCTATCGAATGATTACTAGTACTCAAAAGAAAGAGCTTTGTCCGACACGAATTATGCGTGTTTGAGACATGACTCTGTCTTACTTTTACAGCTTATAAAAGGTTCTTCTTGAAAACCGGCTATTGAAGCTGTAGCCAGAAATCTGAGCTTTCGAAATCACTAACACTCCCATGAAAATTCCTATTAAGCGAATGAGGTCGATTTTCATCTGTCGTCTCATAATGGACCAGTACCAATAATACGTATAAACAATATCTGTCGGCGTGACTGGCTTCAACGCCGTTATAGGCTTGCTAAGCCAATCCGTCGATGGTTAAATGCTGACAGTTTGATACACTTATGTCGCAGTAACAGTCATAGTAGAACCAGCGCCGGTAGTGCAATGGTCAGCACTCGCCTTCGGAAAGGGCGATTTGTTGGTTCGAATTGCGGTAGACGTTCAGGGTTTTGCACACCGCGCAACAATATAGAATATGTTTTCTCAGTGTCTCTTGTCATCTTCTCCGATTGAAAAGTAATCTTCTGTACGCTATGAAGGATCGAATATTTGTCAGCTCTCACACTTTGTTGAGAATGTTCATGCTAAATTTCTTCATATGTACTCTTACTCGGATCCTCAAGCTATCAGCTAAGCAATTCCAAAGATGGTTTTAGAAGTTTCCGCCCTTCTGGAGAGTGGTCCCGTCAATTTTCGTAATATTTTTGCAATTGATTTGTTCAAATAAGAAATGACTAGAAAGCGCCTAGGCTAAACAAAAAAAAATACATGTAATCGGAGCTCTCCACTAGTGTCGAAAACTAATATTCATTGCCATATCTGAAATGTCGTCATCGTTCAGACAATCGCCCCAAGTCGGGTTATAATTTCATATCAACGTCGTCTATTCGGTCACAGCTATGCTTTGGAAGACGACCACAATTCTGCTTTCTATTTATGGTGTTACGAAGGAATTCCGACCAGTCACACCACTCCTCATGCCGTATGTGATTTCAAGCTTCAAGAACTTCACTTTGAATGAAGTCTATGGCATGATTTTTTCTTTCTGGTCCTACTTCTATATGGTGCTTTTGATAAGTTGTTCATTGTATGATTCAAGTTCTTAGAACAATTGGTTGTAGGAAAAATTTTATCGTTTTGCCTGGCAAAAGATTCCTGCTTCTAGACGTGTATCTTGTGCGAATTTGAGCTCATCAGAATGCTCGTTTTCTTGTGCACTTGACGATCTATCATTTGTTTACACAGCCTTTTGAATGGAATTGGTCTGCAGCTCCACTTTCACTACAAATTACGTGTCAGGCCGTATGGTCACGAAATTTACGATGCTGGTAAAGCTCAGAGTCGATTCAAGACTTTCCGTGAAGAAGGAGACTAATTGTCCGATAAACCAAGAAATGAATGTTTACGAGAAGTTAATCGCCAAGCAGTCGTCAGTCGAAACGAAGAAAATCTAGCAGTGAGTTGTAGAATGTTGGTTGACGATCTATATCAACGTCAAAAAATGCTTTTTTGAAAACCGGCGACATGGAGCTGTAGTCTGAATCCACAGTTTTCGAATGATTACTAACATTCCTTTCCCAAAGTTTCTCTCCAAAAATGAGATTGGTTCTTTGTTTGTTCCCTCATGATCGAGTAGTGCTATTTTTTCTATATAATTTGAAAATAGAGCAGAACGTTTTTTTTTGTTACAACATAATGCCATTGGACTAGGGTTTGAAGCTTTTGCCATGTTTTTTAACGCTTGTTATATAGCTAATTTCTCCTATATCTGCAGGTACCTGTATTCTCCCTTCCAGATATTCAGCGATATAAGCCAGTACCTGGATAAACTGAGAAATTTTTACCTTTTAGAACTAGTTCTTAACAGCTTATAGCCAGAAGAAAAGTTTTATAGTTCTCGCACGCGTATTTCCTGCATTACATCACTCACTCCTGTACTACAACGTGAATATTTATAGCTCAAATTTCGACAATATGAACATTACGCTTGTTTTCTAAAAAACATCGTTTCACCGCAGTGTAGCACTGAAAATAAGGTTAAGTTCTGCATACGCTGCGCATTTGCGTGTCGGCTACTGTGTAGGCTGCGTAGGTCCTGACTGTGGATCGATATCGGTCGCGAAGACACCACCCATGCCTGAAGTGCGGTTTTTGCTATTGATTTTAGGATCTTTCTCCTCTTTGCAAAAAAAAATTTCAGATGGAATGTATGACTGTGACACTCAAAGACCTTCTCTGCACGTCCATATGCTTTTCGTACTTCGAGCGATATATAAGCGTGATAAAAATGATGAATCGCGGAGAGTGTGAAGTATAATTCCATTTGCGAATGCTATATCGTTATCAAAAAAGTCTTTACAAAGAGTAAGCACATAGCGCAGTAGCCTAAGATTTAAGCTTTCGATTGATTACTAGCACTGCCATGAAAAGTAAAGCCATGTCCGACCAAAGAAGTCGTTTCTTCACTCTGTTCCATCTAACTCAAAGTACAGAATATCTACTTGTATATTTATTTGATTATTTATTTATTTATTTACCTGATTATATACTTACACGACCTGTTCTCACATTTTTCGGCTCATCCGAGCAATTCTAGCCCTTTATTCCTTTCCTTGCATGCATCCTCCACGGTGGTCTTCGATTATCTCGCGTGTTGTCAACCATACGTGGAGATTTCGTTTCTTGAAAGAATTGAGTGGTGGGCAAAAACAGTGCCTCGGGCGGGAATGGAACCTGCGTTTCATCTTGTCCGGAGACGCGTACTCTACCATTACACCAGCGAGGTATATTTGCCCGGCCACTCATTCTTCAACATCTATATGTTACCTATCAGCTACCAATCAACAGGTTCAGTCGGGTATGCGATTTTGCTTTATAAACCCAGCTGAGCTAACGGCCACTGTTAGATCTAACACTCCGAAATTCTATTATTTTTACTGCTTTGTTCGAAGTGGATTTCCTCACCACTCAGTTTTCTTAGGTTTATGTTCAACATCATAACACTGCGAAAACGTCAGTAAAAATACTAGAATTTTGGAGTATGAGGTTTAGTTTACTTTAAGAATGTCTTAGAATAGTGTTCAAGACGATTCTTCTCGAAATCTCGAAGAAGACCGAGCTAAAGCGTTCTTTGGTTGATTGCAAGAGAATGTTAGAGGAAGGAATCGAAGCAGTATCTCGCCTTCTGATAGTGTTAATCACTAACTATCTGACACCTCCCTCATTATCATTTGTCTATGATTAAGAATTCTATTCCATATTGAATCCTCGCGATTGCCGTTATCAAGGGCTTAATAGGTTTTCCACTGCGCCGACCGATGTCATTGCCTTCTTGCAGTCTCTTATCAGTTCTCTCAGCTACCGTGTCGATGAGTCGTCCATCATCCGTCAAAATGAATAGTCTGCGCTGCACTAGTCGGGATCGAACTCGCTAAGGTGAAGATGCATTCAAAAACACAATTTTTATAGCTTTTATACACTGCACATTCTCTTTCCTTCCATTGCAGGATATGATGTGACATACATTAATGAGATGCTTTAATCAAGCAAATATAAGGGTGAGATGAATCGAAGGATCGCAACTCACATGTTCCGAATTTCACTCTCTGCTCAATGTCCTTGCAGTTGTGTATTACTTCATACCCTTCCTTGAGAAATGAGTAAGTACTTGGAGTTAAAATCTCCTCCTACTAGTTGAGTAACTGTAGGCAGAAATGTTAGGTTATTCCATAAGTTCTGGCACTGGATCCATGGAAACCAAAATTATTAACGAGAAGTGATCAAAATTGCATGGTTCTGGTATCTTTGAATTGAGCAGTTTTTGCGAACTGTTTGTTCATATACAACTTGCCCTTACTCGCTCTAATATGAAGCTGTCGTGGGAACAAATTCGCTTGCTACTTATGCACAAATGGGGCATAAGGGAAGATGCTAGTGAGACGGCGCGCAAGAATAATGAAGCTTTCTGTGAATGACCCAAGCGCGACTGGTCCTCTAGACTGTTCTCGCTAGCTTTGTACTTGGCGAATCACTTCCACCGTCACAATCGCCCATCGGGTGTGGTTGATAATAATAGTTTGAACGAAAAGAAAATAGCACATCTTAAAGTGTCAACGCACCGTATACAATTTGCGTAAGCCGCATCCGTATAATGCCTTCGAATCGTTCAGGTCAACGAGAAACACGCGCCTTTTAGCATAAATACTGGCTTATATCGCAGAATACCTGCAAGAAAGAATACACGAACCTGCAAATATAGGAAAAATTAGCTATATTACGAGCGTTCAAAAACATGGCAAAAGCTCTGATCCCAAATCGAATGCCTTATGTTGTAACAAAAAAAAAAAGGTTCTGCTCTATTTTCAAATTCCAAAGAAAAAAAGACTACTCGGTCATGAGGGAACAGACAAAAACCGATCTCATCTTTAGAGAGGAAGTTTGGAAAGGAATGTTAGTAAATCTTTGAAAACTGTGACTTCAGACTACAGCTCCTCTTCGCCGGTTTTCGAAAAGTATTTGTTGACGTTGATAGAGACCATCAACCAATATCCGGCAACTTATCGCTGGATTTTCTTCGTTTCTACTGACGACTGCTTGGCGACCGACTTCTCGTGAACATTCATTTCTTAGTTTATCGGTCAGTTGGTCTCGTTCTTGACGGAAAGTCTTGAACCGACGCTGAGCTTCACCAGCATCGTAAATTTCTTGACCATGCGGCTTTGACACGCAATTTGTAGTGGAAATGGAGCAGCAGACGAACTTCTTCCTTAAATAATTCCATTCAGAAGGCTGTGTAAACAAATGATATATTGTTTGATGCGCGAAAAAAACGAGCTTTCTGACGAGCTTAATATCGCACAAAATACATGTCTAAAAGCAGAAATCTTTTGCCAGGCAAAACAATATAATTCTTTCTACAATCAATTATTTCAAATACTTGTACAAAACAGTGAGCAACTTACCAAAAACACCATATAGAAGTAGGTCCAAAACGGAAAAAATCATGCTATAGAATTCATTCAGAGTGAAGTTCTTGATGCTTGAAATCAAATACGGCATGAGGAGCGGTGTGAGTGGTCAAAATTCCTTCGTAACACTATAAATAAAAAGCAGAATTGTGATATTTTTCAATCGAAGAAGTTGACAAGAGACACTGAAAAAATAGATTCTATATTGTTGCGTGGCGTGCAAAACCCTGAACGTCCGCTGCGAATCTAACCAGCAATTCGTCCTTTCTGAAGGCAAGTGCTGACCATTGCATCACCGGCGCTGATTCTACTATGACACTTTCTGCGACATATCTATATCGAACTGTCAGCATTCAACCATCGACGGATTGACCTGGCAAGCCGATAACGGCATTGAAGCCAGTCACGCCGGCAGATATTCGTTATACGTATTTCGGTACTGTTTAATTACAAGGCGACAAACAAAAATCGACCTCGTTCGCTTGATAGGAACCTTTCATGGGAGTGCTAGTAATCATTCGAATGCTCAGATTTCTGGCTACAGCTTTAGTAGCCGGTTTTCAAAAAGGCCTTTATATAAGCTGTAAAATCAAGACAGAGCCATGTCTCAGACGCGCATAATTCGCGTACGACAGAGCTTTTTCGTTTGATTACTAGCAATCTTTCGATAGCATTATCGCTACTGATTCCAACGCTGTGCTTAAATCCTAAAAAAACCGTTTTCCTAAAACGGAGCCGATAAACTAACTTCAATTCACATGCTCGAGAAATAAAGTCTTTGGTGAAATTACGTGCCATTGGCTGAGGCACCCACGTGCGCTGAGGAGGCGATCGATAGATCCTGCACCGGTCTTACAACATCGCACCAGCACATGTGGCTGCCATACCAAGCGGCACATAATTTGGCCAAAGACTTTCTTGCCCGCAGGTGCGAATTCATTTCATGTTTGGTGTTGCATTTGAGAAAGACGGTCTTTTCAAGACATAAATAAAGCTTTGTAATCAAAAACGATAATGCTATCGAATGAGTAATGATAGTCCAAAGAAAGAACTCTATTCGGCCAGAATTATGCGCGTCTGAGACATGATTCTTCGTGGACTTTACACCCTATTGAAGGGTCTTTTCGAAAACCGGCAGTTGAAGCTGTAACCAGAATGCCAGAATTTCGAACGACACTAACGTTGTAATGAAAATTTCTTGTCCAGTGAATCTTTTACGTTTGTCGCCTCACAATCACAATGGACAAGTACCGTATTGCCAAGCAAAATTCTTTTTATTAACCGCTTTCAGCGGTAACATATTACAAGTATATATCCAGTATTGTTAAGTATTGTGCAACAGTCTGAACGTCGAATAGAATTCGAACCCGCACTTCACCCTTTCCGTTGAAGCTGCCACGCCCGCAGATATTAGATATTGGCTCTACCTGTCGGAGTCACTGGCTCCAATGCCGATATCGACTTGCCAAGGCTAAACCGTTGACGGCTGGTTAGTTACATATTGACACAATGTGTCGCTGAAAGGGTGGAGTCAGAGCGAGAGCCGACAGCGTAATGGTTGGCACCAGCCCCCGCAAAGTGAGAAATGCCGGTTCAAATCCGGTCCGACGTTCCAAGTTTTGCATATCACTTAGTTACAGGATATATATTTGTAATATCTTTCCACCGTTAAAAGTCTAGTTGATCAGACACTAAGAAACTTCTACTCCATTCGCATATTGTTAAGTTAAGCCGACAGATGAGAAAAGTCGACGAAAAAGAACTCGTTGGTCAACGTTCAACAAATAACTTTACTGCCTTCCATCGTGCGATTTCGCAAGGCGAGAGCATTCGTTGGTCATATTTACGATCAAACACCGCACAATATGAACTGTAACAATGGGCTTCCGTTTTTCGCTGTACTCTTTTGCCGAAATCTCTCTTGTCCCCCATAAAGCCGGTAAAAATCTGATTAGTCATTCGTTAATCGCCACAACTTTCACAAACTCCTTTTGGTCAACAAAGTGGTTGGAAGGTCGAAACGGAACAGCTTAAGAACAGAAGAGTATCATTATTCTTCAGTGCTATACCAGACCTCTGAAAGGCTTAGGAAAATTCCATTATATTATATCGTAATTTTAGCTTAAGGCCCTTTACCTTTCCTATCTTAATCAGCCACAAAGCATTGCCGGCTGAACCTTTTCGGCATAACTTGACTTTTACCTGGAATTCTGGATGGAGATTTGCGATTGCTCGATTTTCGAAACACTGCTGTCGATGGACACTTGTCGCCTTACGTCGATGTTGGACACCACCGAAATCCTCTAAGGTGAAGCCAAAGTGAAAGACGCAGCGATGACGAACGGTGGACGATTATCAGCAGTAAAGGGACAGAAAGTAGCCGAGTGTATTTCAGTAAATTTTATGAATTTCGTCGTCGGAGAAATTAGAGGTAGAAAACGCAAAAAAACGACGGAGATTTCGCTCAAATATAACACAACTTTACGAGCGTTATTGCGAAGTTACAGCAGCTCACGAAGTAGAATTCCATCGCATCGGTCGGCTTGAATCTCGCTTTAAACATCACTGGAGTGTGTGAAAATGTTCAGAGTCCTTTGTGTGATGGGCCACTGATGAAGCGGGGATCACAGCCAAAACGTACGTATGGCTCTGATGTATCAATCTCACGCAGTAACACATAAATTTTAGAGATCTTATCAATGACCACAGCTAACACATCTCAGTAATAATGAAATTTTGGTTGTATAAATGCTCGTTCTTGATGTCCTCTCCGACGATTAATAGCCTCATTGTGGCTAGGAGGCGTTCCTGCGCGTCA